CACAGTAAAGTTGGCGGTTGAACCGTATTATTAAGTGATTAAGCGTCCAGACAAAATATGGCCTTTTTTGTGCTTTAATAGATTTAGACATGGGTAAAATGAGTTAAATGGAAAATGAATGAATTTTAACCCTTTATTGACTGTTTATTGATGTATTAAACATAAATAGAAATTTTTTTTATAAAAAATTATTAAACTATTCAAATCTAGTAAAATTATAATTAAAAAATTATTTTTGTTTTATTTTTAAATATATTATTATTTATTTTATTTAAAATTATATAAAGCTTTTTTAAATCATTTGTTTGTTTGTTTTTTGTTATTAAATTATTCAATTATAATAGAACAAAAAAGTAAACAATAAAATAAAAATTTGGAAATAAAAATACATATTTTATTGAATAAAAAACAGTAAAATGCCACATTTTTTGTTTATTGTTTTAGGTTTATGGTTTATATTATTTTACATTTGTATTAAAAGGATATAAAATATAGCATTTTAATAATAAATGTCTAAACGGGTTTGAATTATACTTTTATTGGCTAAATGTTAATATTATTGGTTAACGTTTCATTTAATTGAACTGCGATTGAATCAGTTTGTATTAAAACAATATTAATATTCTAATTGTCATGATTGAAAGTTTATTATTTAAATGTTTGATTTAGTATTTATGTTAGTAGTTATCAATATTTAATAGTGTGTGCCAATATTGAATGTTTATCAAAAATTTGATCCATTAAATCTTAATATAATCTATTATTATTAATAATATTATTATTATTAGCAGCTAAATGTTTGATTAAAAACGTTATCAATTGTGGTTAAACAATTCTACATTATATCTAATTGTAATTTTATGTAATATTGCATTTTTCTGGTTTATTATTACATAAATTACATAAATTATTAATTTTAAAATGTGATGTTTACACTTTTTTTTTTTTTTTTGTTAATTATAATCAATTCAAATAACAAGGTCTACATAGCATTGTTTAACCACATTTTTCATCTTCGTATCTTAAGAAATCCTGTCAGCCTCATTTTCACCCATCGCATCATGGTCTGATAAAGGTCGAGGGTCGCGACAGGTCACGTGTTAGGACTATAAAAAGGGTCAAAGGATGGCAAGAGAAACACAAAGAGAAGTAGCAATGCACTTAAACGCGAGCTTGCTTGACATCTGAAGCCATTGGTTGAGTGAGACTTTGGTTACGGACTTAATTGGCGCAAACAGCGTTTAAGCCATTGTTCACAGTTTTACGGCGAGACGAAACACTTTTTTGTCATGCACCTGTCAGTTTTTGAAACCTTTTGACTTTTCGTAAACCGGTTTTCAGTTATAAGTAAACACCAATAAAAATAGCCCCTTTACAGTTTTCAAATCTGTGTTTGTCTTAGCAACACAATCAAAAATGACAGAAACATTTAAGTTCTTTTATGGATTGCCGACTCCAGTCAAAAAAAAAAGTGTTTTTGTTGCACTTTATTAACTTGTGTCTGTAGATTTCAAGTATAATACACCATTTACAAGCCGTTTTCCTAAAATGAGTCTCAACTTCAGCAGCTTTACACACAGCATTGTTGCTAGAAGGGATACAGCAGTAGCCAGAAGTTAACGATACCTATTTATGTTATTTAATAATTTACCAATTGCATTTTATTAATGTCTAGCCATATCCTAAACCCAACAATCATCACAGTAATGTAATGTAAAACAGTAATTATACCAAGTATTATTTATTGAATTGCCCATTAAATTGTATTCTAGCAGCAGCTTTACATGTTGTATCTAAAAGGGATACAGCAGTGGCCAGAAGTTCACAAGACTTTATTATTTATCTATTAATTGTTTTTAATTAACATCTACCTCTACCCTGAACTCATCCATCACAGGAATGTAAAACAGTAACTCTACCAAGTATTATTTATTAAATTACCCATTCAATTGTATTTTAGCAGCAGCTTTACATACAGCATTGTTGCTAGAAGAGATACAGCAGAGGCCAGAAGTTAGTATTATTTATTAATTTACCCATTGTATTTTAATAATGTCTACCTCACCCTAAACCGAACTATCACAGCAATACAAAAACAGCAATTCTTCCAAGTATTATGTATTAAATTGCCCATTAAATTGTATTTTAGCAGCAGCCGTACATACAGCATAGTTGCTAAAAGAGATACAGCTGTTGCCAGAAGTTCACGACACTTATTTATATAATTTATTAATTTACCGATTGTATTTTATTAACATCCAGCCACACCCTAAACCCAATCATCACAGTAATGTACACCAGTTGCGTCAGTTGCGTCGCTTCACTCCCACTCATGAATTCTCTTGAGGGGCACCATGGGATAGCGCAGCGTGCATGGAATGCGCACTTCAAAAGCTCACCTAAGGTAGTAGGTCATGTGACTACTTCTCGCATACTGATTTTCGAATTCTATGAATTTAGACATACTACTCGGCTCGCATACTGATTTTAGCGTACTATATATTATGGAAGTATGCAGTTTCGGACGCAGCCAATGTTTAATTTTCTAGACCACATTGCTTTTCCTTGGCTGAAAGTTAATTAATTGAAAAAGAAGTTTGTTTTAGTAATCTTCAATTAAAATTTGGACTATTTGCTTTCGCGTTTTGAGTGGCGGTCCTTCGCTGTTGATGTCAGTATGTTGGTTTCAGCCACAATATTCTTGCCATTACACCCTCCTCCCGTTAGTTTGCTATCAGGGAATGATGAGCAAAAAGAAAGCCACGCCCCCTGCTCAATATTCCGTTTCAATTTTCAACCACTTCACACAGGGCTTGATTTTTGTGCTAGTAATCTAATTAGTGCAAATTAAATTTTTCATATTTCGATAACATTTTAGGGAAACCATTATACAATTCTAAATGTAACCAATCAACTGGTGAAGTATGGCGTTCACTATTGCTTATTTTTTTTACCTCCTTCACCTACAGTGTCTTGCCTTGATATAAGCGATGAGAGGCTAATAAAGTATGACACATTTGCTTATGCCGTTGTCAGGTGGTTTGGAGCGAGAGCGAGGTGACCTTTCTCTCACCATGCCTAAATGCGTTTTCCACGTATGTTCTCACAAGTGAAAAGTGCTTCCTCTTTCCTTCTCCGTCTCTCTTTCTCTCTTTCTGTGTGTGTGTGTGAGTGAAAAGCTTTTCGTGTCCTGTTCTCCTGGTCCATCTCTATCCATTTCCCCTGTCGTTTGTAGGTCAGTTCCTCTTCTAATGCTCAGAAGAATTTGTCTTGTCCTGAAAGACGACACAGACCAAATCCATTACTGGTCAAGACCAAAAGAAAAAAAAAAAAGCACTCACTCATTTTTTTTTTAGAGCGCACCATATTAAATACTAAATACTCTGACAGGAAAGTAGGATAGACTAGCTTAACATTTGAAGTGATTTAAAAGGGTTTTCCTGTCAGGTTTTTTATGTTGCCTGTTTGTATGTTGCGATCCTTGAAAAGTGTTTGAGTTGCTCTGTTCGATTAAAAATTCTGACCAGTCTAGCATAGCAACAGTGGTTCAGCCAATAGTGTTAGTTTGAAGGCGGGGCTTACTGTCTGCCTGGCAAATGAAGAATGTGGAAAACCTATTTGAAAACAAACTGTCAACCTAATATTATTCAACAAAACTGAACCTCAAAGCTATCTATCTATCTATCTATCTATCTATCTATCTATCTATCTATCTATCTATCTATCTATCTATCTATCTATCTATCTATCTATCTATCTATCTATATGTTTATTGATCTGGTAATCTATGTATGTATGTATGTATGTATGTATGTATGTATGTATGTATGTATGTATGTATGTATGTATGTATCTATCTATTTATCTATCTATCTATCTATCTATCTATCTATCTATCTATCTATCTATCTATCTATCTATCTATCTATCTATCTATCTATCTATCTATCTATCTATCTATCTATCTATCTATCTATCTATCTATCTATCTATATGTTTATTGATCTGTTTATCTATATATGTATGTATGTATGTATGTATGTATGTATGTATGTATCTATCTATCTATCTATCTATCTATCTATCTATCTATCTATCTATCTATCTATCTATCTATCTATCTATCTA